AGTTGATTATGAATATATGATTTGAATTATCCTGTGGTGGATAAGTTTTTGAGTGAATATTGATCAATCTTGGAGGTATGTAATATGTGTGCATCCTGTGTGTGGATGACAATCAGCATAACTGTCATGACACAAGTTAGTAGTTGTAGGATGAGGTTAACAGTGCCATTTGGAACTTGTCAGCTGAATCTACTTAGATCTGGTTTATCTGAATTCACTTGTTAACTGAATAAAACATGATGGTGCTTGAAGCAAACGCTATTGGGTTCAAGTACTGACAAGTAGACTGAGTCATGTTGGTAGATGTAGGCTACCTGGTTGGGGTTCGCGAGACGATACTAACCGATGATTAGAGACCTTGAACGACATGGCTCAGAATTGTTTGGAGTGGCGCAGGTGAATCCGCTCTTTTTGTTCTGTGAAATTCTAAGCTTCTGCATTCCTTATAATCTCTATCTTTCTCCTTCTAAATTTATCTCACTGAAATATACTTCTCGAATCATATCTTCGCTCTCTAATCTTCTCCATCACTGTTAATACTTCTACTATCGCTATCACTCTTGGAGTTGAACTGACAGTTGCGTCTCTGTGCTAATGTGGTATGGAAACCTGAACTGATGTACTCATGTACGAAGTTCCGTGTTGTATCTGTCTGTCTGTCTGTCTATTAGGTTCAAGTCCTGGGGTGAATGAACATCATCCGAATGTTGCAGATACATCCGGCTGATGAGTTCTAACTTGGACGAAATAGAGAAAAATTAAGACAGTTTAATTAAAATTAGTTCACCCTACATTATGTTACATAAAGTTTACTTACGATTTTTATTTACAAAATATCAGCCTGTTATTTTTATATATTTTTTTTGTACTGTACTAATTAATCAGTGTATATTAGATTGATACAATTGAAATAAATCAATTCACCTTGTTAAAACAATTTGTCAACAATTGAATTGTTCTGTTTTGTTTTTTTACTGTTAAATAAGTTTGAACAAAAAATATGTGTATTGTATGTCGGTAATTGTCGACTATCTGGTTGGGGTCCGCGAGATGATAGTAATCGATGGTTAGATTCCCTGAATGAAATGGCTCAAAACCGTTTGCAGTCGTGCCGGTGCATCCACTGTTTGTGTTCTCTTAAATCCTAATCTTCTGGATTCTTCAACACCTCTAGTTTTGACTTTCTAAACTTATCTCACTGAATCATACTTCTTGAATAATATCTTCTAATCCTAACCTCTCCGATTACCTCTGATACATTTACTACCTCTTCTACTATTGGATTTGAATTGACAATTACATGTCTGTGCTAATGTGGTATGGCAACATGAACTGATGTACTTACGTACGAAGTTCTACGTTGCATCTGACTGACTCTGCCTCATTATTATTTATGCATTTTCTAAAAATATATATTTATTCCAATACAATTTTATTTTTTTTCTTAATCAACGGTAATTTATCCGCCTTGTATTGATTTTCGTAGTTCAAATCATGAACTAATGGAAATAAGATCACTTATTATGTCTAAACATGGAAAGTTGTTTTACCCCCTAGTGACTACAGATACAGATACAACACAAAACTAAATACGTTATGCACATCAGTTCAAGTTGCCATACCACATTAGCATAGAGACATGACTGTCCGTTGAAATCACATAGTGGTAGCGATAGTAGAAGTGTGGTGTGTGCTACTTATACGAACGATATAAGTAGTATAAGAAGGGACGTGAAAGAAGAAGTCTCACGTTCACAAGAGGAAAACGGAAAGCGAATGGAGCAAAAGCAAGAAGTAAATGTTGTACCAACAGAGGAAGGAAAGGAAGCAACAATAGGAATGGAATAAGGATGGATTGTTGGAAGTCACGACTCAAAGATGGTGTGCAAATAGAGTGTTCAATGTAAAGTGTTCGTTTTTAATTGACTCAGAGTGTAAATTTGCATAATAAAATCTTCCGCGCCTGCCTCAGTCTTCTCAGAATTATTAGCAGTAATGGAGAACTTTAGGGAGCGAAGATATGATTTGAGATGTATAATTCAGTGATATATATTTAGAAAGAGAAAGATAGATATGATGAGGAATTCAGAAGGTTAGAATTAGAACGAACACAAAGAGTGGATGCACCTGCGCCATTGCAAACGATCCTGAGCCATGTCGTTCAAGGTCTCTAACCATTGGTGACTTTCGTCTCGCGGACCTCAACCAGATAGCCTACATCTACCAACATGACTCAGTCCACTTGTAAGTGATTTCATGGATTTCTCCCATTTTTGGTTTGGCCGCCCCTAGCTTTCTTCCAACCTACTCCTTCACCATACCTGTAACAGCCTGCGAGACCAAATGGGTCACAAACAAACTCGCCAATGACTAGTTTTTTATGATGTATTCCTGGAATCCTAATGAGAATTTTTGACCGTATACGAGACAATTATTTGCCCCTGGCACTGAATGAACGTTACACAACGTCATGAGTATTGATTGAAGTTAGATATTAACATCATAGTGGTATATAGGTTAAGCCAATAAAACGAGTAAAACCCAGTTTACGTTGTATTGGACGACATAAAATTTTGAATCACATGAGAATTAATTTCTTCAATATACGAGTAAACAATTAACCTTGATTTTATACATTAATCGAACAAAAGTTGAATTTCTTTTTGTGTAATTGTTGTTCATATCATGATTGATTTTTTTTTCAATAAAAAATAATTCCTGTGTGTATTTCATGAGTTATGATTTCATTGAAACATATATCGGACATATATATATTGGAAGGGAATAGTTATTGTTAGTTTTTAAAAAAATTATTCTCCAATTGATCTTAGTTATACTTTGGTGCGTGCTACTTATAAGTAGTATATGATGACGCGAGTGTAAACGTAATATCTGGCAGCAGAAGATGGTTGGTGAAGATCAAGAAAGTAAGAAGAGTGGAAACACAATGGAATTTGTATGAAATGCATGAATAAGTGAAATGTCAGACAATGGATTGAAGATTTGCAAATTAACCGTTTACGATATGATTTTCCTACTTTACTGAGTAACTCTGTAATTTGCGATAAATTCGAAATTCGGTTGGCCTCACCTGTGTTCTCCTTTCACTACAATACAACCATTGAACATTTAATTAACATGTAAATGGTTTATTGCAATTTGATTTCGTAGATTATTTTCACTAATCTATAAGATTATCAGAAAGTAAAGATGGGGATATTTTAAACCTTGTAGTTTTTTGGAGGTGAATTTTCTATATCTTCCTAAACTTTGTATATTACCGTCCTGACAAAATATTCACCTCCAAATCACAGATTCTTCTTAAATAACATATGACTAAATTCTTCTGGTCTCTTTAATTTTCAATCTAGATTTTTTTTTCACTGAGTTTAGATGTGTTTCAATGTGCGTGGAATGCTATCATGTGTTTAGCGATATCCGAATAATGTTTTGGTGTTGATCAAGTTGGTTTGTTGCACATTCACAAACTCAAATCTTTTTGTCTTTCATTTAATTAATCAATCAACCAATAGCAACGAAGAACGCCTTACGTTCGTACGTACATCAGTTCATATTGCCATATCTTATTAGCATAGAGATGCAACTGTCAGTTCAAATCCAATGGTAGTAAAGGTAATAAAGGTATTAGATTAGGATTAGAAGATATTATTCAAGAAGTAGAATCTAGTGAAGTAAACTTCGATAGAAAAAGATAAAGTGATGAGGAATTCAGAAGGTTAGGATTTGAAAGAAGCCAAAAGAATGAATGCACCTGTGATATTGTAAACGGTTTTGAACCATGTCATTCAGGGCTCAAAACCTTATCTTTCATTGTTGTACTACTGTTTGTGAGATTAAAATTAAACATAACTTCAAACATCCTACATCAAGTGTTCGTTTCAACATAAAATCCCTCATTGGATAGATTATTTATGTAAAAAATGGGTGACTTCTATTCAAGAATAATTGATCACTCCTAATATTTTCACCATATCAACTTTACTACTTTTTAACTTTTTCAGTAGTTTATTTATTACTATTAAACAATCGAGAATCAGAACTGTATTCATTCATTTACTTACTAACTTACATGTTCACTAGATTTGTTTACATTTGGAGCCGTATAACAATCGTGATATCAATACAATTGTTGAAGATTTAAAGTATATTCACAATCAAGGATACACTTCTCATCCAGCTTATTATCATATTTCTACGAATAGTAATTTATTACCTGTAGTGTATGTATATGATTCCTATAGAATAAAATCATCAGAATGGGAAAAAGTGAGTTTTAAATAAACATGTATGTATATATGACTTTATATAACGACTTTTTCAAATGTGAATTGCCAAATTTTCATTGAATTTAGAATACATATTGTTATGGACCAGTTGCACATTTGAGTTCTTGAAACTTTAAAAAATGAGGTCAGTTTCGAAAAGTATACAACCGTTGATTTATTAGAAACTTAAAAACTTTGAATATACAGGCACTAATAACATTCTTTTCAACTGAAGTTATGGAGATTAGTGTTTTTACACGCGAAAAATCTCTTGATCAATCAGAGTTGACATTAACACCGTTGGGTGCCGGTCCAGTTGTCTAGAGGTTAAGCGTTCGCTCAAAAGACCGAAGGTCCAACATTAGACTCCTGTGAGGTGCGGAGTCGGGAGCGTGCACTTCTGATGAGTCCCATAGCGGGGCGAAACGGCCGTAAAGTGCTTCTAGGTTTCCAATGGTGGTTTAACAATTATTGATTGATGGTTATTAACGTTATCAAAAACATGTTCATTAAGGAAAGTGAATGAGATAACATTATATGATTGAGAATACTAAAATACTAATCAGTTAGAATCAACAGATATTAAGTAGATTATTGGTTTAAGATAAATTACATTTCAATAATCTGCATATGTGAAAGAAACTAAACGATAAATGAATTGAGAATATCATCACTAATTTTGTAGAAAAAAGTAATGTAAGACATTGAAATGAGTTTAATTTATTAAATAAATATTAAACTATTTTTTAGTTTATAAGTAGAATGGAATTACTGCAACAAAAAATGAGGCATAGTAAGAAAGTTAAAACGTAACTGAAATAAATAATAACTAATGGATATTTAAATTCGTTTCAGTGTCAAAAAGTGTTCGATATTCAGGTGTATGTTTAATTGTATAATAGGCTGCAACTCAGTAATAATCAAAGTTATTTAAAGATGGCCTGGTGACTGACGAAATCTCAGCAGGGCTACAGAAGGCTCAATTGACTTTTGCCAACCTGCGTCACCTATGGCGCAGGCGAGATGTCCGCTTGTTAACTAAAGGACAAGTGTACCATATAGTGAAGCTTCATCAGTTGAGGTGTTTGGGACATGTGTTACGTATGCCTAACCACCGACTGCCGCGACGAGCTATGTTTTGCAGTGTAGGAGTAGATTGGAAGAAAGCTAGGGGCGGCCAGACCAAAACATGGCACAAATTCGTGAAGTCAGTGACAAGTGGATTGAGTCGTGTTGGTAAGTGTAGACTATCTGGTTAGGGTTCGTGAAACGGTAGTAACTGATGGTTAGAGACCTAGAATGACATGGCTCAGAATCGTTTGCAATGGCGCAGGTGCATCCACTCTTTGTGTTCTATGAAATTCTAATCTTCGGAATTCCTCATAATCTCCTTCTTGATCCTTCTAAATTTATCTTACTGAATTATACTTCTCGTATCATATCTTCGCTCTTTAATTTTCTCCATTACTGCTAATAATTCTATTATTGCTATCACTCTTGAATTTGAGCTGACAGTTGCGTCTCTGTGCTGATGTGGTATAACAACCTGAACTGATGTACTTACATACGAATTTCTGCGTTGTATTTGTCTGTCTATGTAGAATTCTTGTTAGTTCATTTGACTAAAGATAGTACATGAAAGTAACTGATAATCGGTAATTATTGACTTCCTTTCGTATAGCATATTGTATGACGTTTTCAGTTTCAAGAATAATAAATAGAATGGAATAGTTTTTATCATACCTCATTTGTTTTTGAAAAAACCTGACTATTTCATAAGTCATTATAACTTTATTTCAAGTACTTTTGTAACCTTGTATGCAAATACATTGCTTGATATCACGATAATAAATAAACTCCAAATAGAATGGATCGAATGTGGCTAACACTGTGTTGTAACGCTGCTACGTATAGCTATTCAGTCTTAGCGGCGTCCAATTCAAATATCCCAATACTACCCAAAATTCTATTTCCAAATCTCTTATATATCAGAACGCAACACTGTGGGATGGAGTTGTTTATTGGGTCGAGTATAGAAGAGAGGTAGGCAGGAAGGAACGGAATTAGAATCGGAATCGTGAAGTCTTACAGATAGTGAGTATTTATACATTTAGGTCAAATAGGAAAGAGCATCAAGGTCTGTGACATTGACAGTTTAGGACGACCAATAGGAAAGAACGTTGAAGTATTTGACTTTGACAGTTAAAACGAGCATAATTTTGACCAGTAGAAATCGACCAATAAGATTATACTTCCAAAAATAGTACTCCTAGGATATTTGGTGAATATCCTAACACAGTGTCAGACAGGATGCATATTACATCTTGTTTGGAACTCATCAACTAGATCTATCTGCATTTAAGAGTTGATGTCTACTCTGGAACTTGAACACGGTGTAGGTTGTTTCATATAACATCATGTTAACTACTTATCCGTTGAGCTCACATAGACACTTATGCTTGCAACGGGTGTAAGTTTTAATTAGTTTTGAAATGATTTTTATTCAAATTAACTCTGGGATGTAAGCACATACAACTAATAAGTCCTAAACAGAACGAAATGCACTTCATACATAGTGTTCGGTAAGCACTACTTTACACTTGAACGGGGTTGAACTCCACTAGTCACGATTTCTCACTAGAACTCGAAGAAACGTCTTCAAGGAGTTAGTCACTAGTGAGCATATCGTAATTTTTTGCATTATATGGTTATCGAGATGATGAGTCCCATACCAGGACATGAAGCCCCTCTAGGTCTCTAATGGTGTTTTTAAAACTGATTGATTCATGATTTCATAAGTAATTCAACAGTCTTCACAACCCGATGGATCAAATATATCCCCCCCCAAGTCTCTTATCCCATAAAATAAGCATGCTATTTTATTTGATAAAAAGTAATTCATTCTGAGATGGTGGAGAAAACTTGTAGCTCATGTGGATGATTGTGGTGGTGTTTGGTTCTCTGAGCTGGTTGTTTTGGTTGTGGAGCTTTCATTGTCAAACGTGGAGAAATTCGAATGCTTCACTTCTATCTGAAGTTTTTGCTGATGATGTTGTTCAGAAGAACAATGAAAGCTCCACAACCAAAACATAACCAGCTCAGAGAACGAAACACCACCACAGTAATTCATTCTCCTTGCCTATAAATTGTTGGTATCAATTTCTTGTGTTTTGTGATACTGTGAAGAAAGGTATTCAAATCATTAAAGAATCCATTCGTTATAAGCAGCAATTATCATTTGATCCGCAGTTAGTCATTCCATTACAACGTAGAACTTCGTACGTACTTGGGTTCATCAGTGTTCAAGTTTCCATACCAGTATATTAGCACACAAAGGGCGAATTGTCAATTCGAATCCCACATTAGTAAAGTTCAGTCAGTCAGTCAGTCATTCCGTTACAGTGTAGAACTTCGTACGTACGTAGGGTACATCAATGTTCAAGTTGCCATACCAGCACATGAGCACACAGACAGCGAATTGTCAATTCAAATCCCACAGTAGCAAAGCTCAGTCAGTCAGTCCGTTACAGTGTAGAACTTAGTACGTACGTGGGGTACATCAGTGTTCAAGTTGTCACAGTATACCACATTAGTAGTACAGTTGTGGTGTGTGCTACTTATACGAACGATATAAGTAGTATAAGAAGGGACGTGAAAGAAGAAGTCTCCCGGTCACAAGGGGAAAACGGAGAGCAAATGGAGCAAAAGCAAGAAGTAAATGGAGTAGTACCAACAGGAAGTAAAGGAAGCAACAACAGGAATGGAAGAAGGATGGAGCGTTGGAAGTCACGACTCAAAGATGGTGTGCAAATAGAATGTTCAGTGTAATGTTTTCGTTTTTAATTGACTAAGAGTGTAAATTTTCCAAATACAATCTTCCTCGCCTGCCTCAGTCTTCTGAATCTAATCAATGGACAGCATTATATTTAAATTCATTTCAACTATCGTTTTTTATCAATGTTACACAATGAAAATGCAAGTCTATTAATTACATATTATCCAAAATCAATCTGTTCTTCTTTTTAAAAATTAGATTTTACAATCGAATGATCAACAAAAAACTATACGTAATAAAATCTATAATGCTTATCTTATTGGTTTATTACTTGATATGGATGATTGTCGAACATTGTATGAATCCGGATTCAATGGTGGTTATACTTATTTTATTGGTAATGGTGTTTCAACAGCCAGGTAAATTAATAACAGACATTATTTATTTATTTTGTTATGCTAGGTGTTTGTAGAATATACTTTCTACGCTTACAAAGCCTTTTTACTCTATTTGCGGATTCAAGGTAGCCTACCTGGACGCTGGTAAAAGTCTCGTTCGCGTTTATCGACTAAGTGACGAGCGTAACAACTGGCGACGGTGGTAATGGAAATATGGATCCTGTCAAACTTGAATTATTACTTGAGCAGCAGCTGAAACTGTTGCAGATGTTGACAGACATGAAGATTTCCCCTTCCACACAGCCCAGCTCATCTAATGCAACCACAGCTCCATAGGTCGACGGCATTGCAAATAACTACGGAAGACAAATGGATGAGTTCACGCAAAACCACTAGATTGATAAGAGTTACACATTAACCCTATTGGATAGCGGTCTAGTTGTTCAGAGGTAAAGTGGTTTTCAATTCAACAACAGAGTGTACAAACAAAGAAAACGAACATTAATGAGATAACCAATATCAGGACTCATCCCGGGAGCTGTACTGCAGAGACTAGAAGCGTTGGTTTTACTAGTGATCAAGCCAAAAATGTGGGTTCGCTATGGAGACCACACATTCGTCATTATCAAAAGGAACGAGCTGGAGAATATCTACAATCGGATCAACAACGTCTTCGATGACAATAAATTCACGATGGAAAAGGAATCAAACAACAGTCTATCATTTCTGGATGTACTAATTACCAGAACTAACACAGGAAAACTGGAAACTCAAGTATTTCGGAAACCAACCCACACAGACCTAATTCTCAACTATAGGTTAGCAACAACCCAAGAACTCACAAGATCAACTGTATACAAAAGTTGTTCGAGAGAGTGAAGACACACTGCGGCACACTTGCAGCGCAAAAAACACATCAACTGAAATCGTCATCAAAAGCTATGTTAAGTGCAGGAACCAATAAACGGATCATTCTACCACACGTAAAAGACATATTGGAGCATACAGCACGACTGCTGAAACCATTTGGAATATGTGTGAAACACACAAATCAACAGAATCACTCCAATCAATCTTATGTAGACCAAAAGACAAAATGACAAAGGAAGAAAAACCAAATATCATCTACAAAATAAATTGCTCAGACTGTGAAAAACACTGGTAGGACAAAGTGGACTTCCTCGTCAGCTTCGCTTACGTGAACATCAGCAGTCGAACGCCACGACGTTTTTTCACTCATATCAATACATACGGACAATTATGGACATACACTCGATTGGAACAATTTTGAAATAATGGATAGAGGGAGCACAAAGAACTCTAGATAATTTTAGAAGCTTGGCACTCAGGTCAATCGGCAATCAACAAACACATCGGCATTGGCCCAATTTATCAACCAAACAGAAAAATCATAAGCAAACATAGGATCAAGAAACAGATCAAAAGGAGGATACAATCAAAACAAAGATGTAAACAACGATGGATTTAAGGTCAACAGCAACCAATCAAGATTGAGGTTAGCAGAACAAGCTACAGGTCAAACGTGAAGAAATTAGAATACTTCACTTCTTCTATACCTTAAGTTTGTGCTGATGATATTGTTGTTCAGAAAAAGAACATTGATGAAAGCTCCACAACTAAAAAATCCGCAGCTTAGAGAACGAAACACTACGAACATCACCACAAGAATCCATGCCTTCCTACATGAAGTATTCATATGCTTAATTGATTAGAAAATGTTGTATATTGCTCACCTAGAATAAATATATTGAGAATCATATCCTTCAAGAATTCATGAGCCACATATTGTCTTTATATTGTCATACATTTTATTTAAAAGGAATCGCTTGTAATGCCTCCACATACATTTGAGTTCGCTCATATTTAACAATTCGGTTAAGCTATTTTGATGAACTTATTTAACCGAGTCAATTGTATAGCAACAACTTATGTGTACTCATTGGCTTTTAACTATTGTCTGGTTTGTATGAGCTGGTACAACTGAACATTGCTTACCGCTCACACATATATTCATCCTATTCGCTTTAATGTTAACCTTTCCTATGCATATGTGTATGTACATTCTAATCTTATTAATTCATTCGCCAATTCGCTCACTCGCTAGCTTGCTTGCCTTTCGTTCCGTATGCCTGTGGTTTGGTGGTTTAATTGTGGTGTGTGAAAATAAACGTATTCAACACACTTCGTATTATTCGCCTTCTGATTTATAAACCTTGAGGTGCTATTTAGTAACAGTTATCTGGACGAGCAGCATACAAAGCCTGAGACCGTCACGAAACTAGTGAGACACTGGCCACCACAAGCTTACCATTACAATAGTTATCACATGTTTAAGACAATATAAATAATTATACCTTTGTACAATAAGCTTAATTAAGATTAGAAATTGTTTAGAAGAAACTGTTGCTATATATAACGCAATTAAGTGGTGTTTTATATTAAATTGTGAGAGGAAAAAAGAGGTATATAGTTATGATTACAATAATTTTGATCAAATATGAATTAGTGCTAGAAGTGGATAGAACATAGTTTGTGTGGGAAGTACCTAACTACGTTATCAAGCAAGCTGTAACTTAGTATCCTCAAGCCACATATATTGGGCTAAGAATTGAAAACAGACGTGAAAATAATAAATGGCGATGAGGAACAGCTGGATAGGAAGACTTAGAACAGAGTTGGTTGAAGATTATTGGCCAGCGGTCTAAGCTTCACCATGGGTTGAATTATCAAATTGAACTAGTTGTAGGAGAAGAATGTTAAAGATGTATATCCTATTTATTAATCTAATCAAATCATGTAATCAACTTGTTTGACTATTGTAAGATTATCGACTATCAGTTTTAAGTAATGTATCTGTTACGCTAGTCTCTAGGTATGCTTAAACTATTACGAGTTCACCTTAGTCGAATAACGAGAACAAAACAATTAATCAGCGTCCAGGTAGGCTACTGTGATCCCTTGACCAAAAGGTATCAGCAAGAAGTCTTGATATAGTGTAGAAATTGTATTCTACAAACACCCAGCCAGCACACAATGAATCCAAGCACTCAAATTGCGTTTATTTATACTCTATAGAGACGTCCTTGGGACAGTCACAAAAATAGCACATTAAAATGACACAGTAACCAATCACAGCCAAGGATTTTCCTGGTTGGAAATGTGGTCTCAAGGTCAACTGATCGGTCTATGAAATAAATCCAAAACAAAGATATTTATCAAGCGAGTTCTGGCGATCTAACATCCCCAACAATATCTCTACGTTGAATCGTCACTATTAATATGTGTGAGCATTGAACCGCATTGAAAAACATGGAGAAGTAGATACATGTTTCATTTTACTGTTGTAGATGCTACTCACAAAGTGGTTTATAAGTAGTAAGTGGCGCTGATTGGAAGTCATTACTAGAAAGATGAATGATAGATCGAAATGCATGATCAAATATTAATCAGTGTAGTTTGAAGACTAGTAGTAGGCAGCCAAACTGAATATTTGTTACCACTGAACTAATGAAACTGACACTAGTCATAGATGGAAACACTGTCAGTTTGTTTATGTTCAGTATGTGATCTCTAGAGAATTCCATTTAATGAAACCATTAGTTTATACTCAGCAGTTCAGTCAGTTAGTCAGTCAGCTACAATATAGAACTTCGTACCTATGTAGGTACATTAGTTCAAGTTGCCATATCACTCACTACATTAGCACACAGAGATCGAATTGTCAATTCAAATCTTATAGTAGTAGAGACAATAGAAGTATTAGCGGTTGCGGAGAAGATTAGGGTTCAAAGAGGTTATTCAAGAAGTAGAATCTAGTGAAATTAACTTAAAAAGAAAAAGATAAAAGTGATGAAGAATTCGGAAGACTAGAATTTCAGAGAAGACAAAGAGAATGGATGCACCTGCACTATCGCAAACGATTTTGAGTTATGTTATTCAAAGTCTCTAACCATCGGTTCCGATTGTCTCGCCAACTCCAACCAGGTAGTCTACATCTAGAAACATGAGTCAGTCCAGCTGTCAGTGTGTGACTTCATGAATTCGTGCCACAGTTTGCTGTGACCACACCTAACTTTCTTCTGTAGTGCCTCCACATATATTCCAGTTCGCTTACATTTAATTTGGTTAAGCCCTTTCGATTAATTTATTTAACCAAGCCATTTGTATTGCAAAAATTTATATGTACCATTCGTTCTTATTATTGTCTGGTTTGTTTGAGCTCACATGACGTGTTCCACTTGTCATTTGACCTTGTCAACTATTCTTCGCTTTTATTCATGTGTGCCTATTTCGCTTGTCGCATGTATGTCTTATATTTGCCTGACTATATATTCTTAGTCATGCTCTATCTCTTTGAGTTAGCTCATTAGCGCTTCGCCTGTCCATCCGCTTCCTTCGCCCATTCGTTCGCATTGTAATCCTAGGAGTTGGCTCAACAACCTTCTCCAATTCACGTCACTTCATTCGTTTTACTCACTGCTTCTCCGCTTCGCTTTGTGGTGTGTCCCAAATAAACGTATTCATCACTACGACTTCACCTTCTGATTTATAAACTGTCAGACACCATTTAATAACGATTGTCTAGATGAGCTAATCACGAAAACTAAGCGACACACTACACTTCCACAATTCATCAAAATTTATAATCATTTCAGCCTTTTTTTATCTACTTTTTTTTCTAAATTTTAGCTCACCTGATAACTGGAATTATTTATTAGAACAATGTACAAAATATAATGTAACATTTTATCCTAGTATTGGTCCAGGCTATGATGATCTATCTGTACGTCCATGGAATAAACCAGCCACTAATTCACGTGATCATGGTTTAACTTATGTGAAATTATTCAATAAAGCTTACAATAGAAAGCCACCACTGTCAACATCATCATCACCGCTCACGACATCTCCTGCTATTGGCGGTCTAGGCATTGTATCATTCAATGAATGGCATGAAGGTACACAAATTGAACCAGCTATACCATATCGATGGAATTATTTCATGAAATCTAAAATCTATCAAGATTATTTACCATATTCACCGGAATTCTATTTACGTTTAACACGTCTACTGATTAATCAATATGAAGGTAATGTAGATGATGATAGTTTACCGAGAAAATTCATGGAAACAAGTAAACATGAAATGGAACAACTCAATACATTGATGAAAATCAGTTAAATCTCTTAATTGTTCTCGTTGTTGTGACAGAGGGACAGTAAGAGAGAGTGGGAGAGCAAGAGAGGCTGTACACAAGACCATTGTTCTCTTGTAAAATATGTGTATGTATTTTCTTTTATCTCTATTTTATTTTATTTTTTTTAAAAAATAATTAATTAACATGAAAAATGATCAAACTGTTGTTTTAGATTAATAAATTTGTATCAGATTGATTCAGTACAATGGTTGTGTTAAGATATTCATCCAATAATCCTAAGACAATTATTGGTCAATTCCGATTGGTTAATTCGTACTGGTCAATTTTATGGTCGTCCTAGTAGATATCAATATCATGTGCTTCATTGTTGTTTCTTATTGGCTGTTCTGATTATCAAAGTCACTTCAAATGTTGTTTCCTATTGGTCGTCTTAACTGTCAATGTTTCAATGTCAATGCTTGAACTATTACGAGTTTACCGGAAAACGAGATCGAGAATCCGGCGACACGACATGCTACTCATATCCAATTATCCCAACCCCCATATTTAGTTAAACTAAGTAGACAAGATTTGATATGAAGTAGAACCTGTATTCTACTAGCATCCAGAAAGTACGAGGTCCGAATCCAGAAGAGAATCAGGATCCCGGACTAGAGATTCGGGTCCGGTTACTGGTCCTGGTTATGGTCATAAAACGTTACAGATAATGCGTATTTATACAGTTAGGTCGAATAGGAAACAGCATCGAAGTCTGTGACATTGACAGTTAATACGATCAATAGGAAGCAACATTTGAAGAGATACTGATAGTCAGAACAACCAATAAGAAATAGGATTGGAGTATGTGACATTGATATCTACTAGGACGACCATAAAATTGACCAGTAGGAATTAACCAATAGGAATTGACCAATAATTGTCTTAGGATATTGGATGAACATCCTAACACCGGTATAGGAGAAATCATAGAAATATATTCAGTTATTACTGTTAGCCTGTGAATCAGGCTTAATTCGATTAGATGCTTAAAGAAACCAATTTAATACAATAAAAATAGATTATTTTATGTCTTCCAGTAGTTAACGATGAAAGAATTGTAGAAATTTGATTATTCTATGAGGATTAGTGGATATGGTGAAGATTAGGGTTCAAAGATTATATTCAAGAAGTATAATTCAGAGAAATTTAGGAAGAGAAAGATGGAGGTGACGGATTCAGAATTTCAGAGAAGACAAAGAATGGATGCACCTGCGGCCCATGCAAACGATCTTAATCCATGTCGTTCAAAGTTTCTAACCATCGGTTACTATTGTCTTGTGAACCACAACAGGTAGCCTACATCTACCAACATGACTCAGTCCACTAGTCAGTGACTTCATGGATTTCTGCCATGTTTTGGTCAGGCCGCCCCTAGCTTTCTTCCGACCTACACCGCAAAACTTATCTCGATGAGGTAGTCGGTGGTCAGGCATACATACTACGTGTTCCAACCAACTCAACTGGTGAAGAGTCACTTCTTCATCAACTAATCTGATATCCTTACCTAGTTTCCTTTTCCTAACAACAGCAATGCTTACTCGGTGGTCGCAGGATATACGAGCAGTGCTTCGAAGACACTTGTGATCGAATACTAGTAGCCTACGAATATCTTCTTTTCTATCTCTCTTGCTTTCACTACCCACCACTGTTCGCGATCATTCCGTAGGCTTTTTATCAGCCTGGGATTGACCTGACTACGCTCTTCGTCATATACAGAGCCACCTGGAATGAGATTTCGAGCATGTATCAGTTTAGTAGATGGTTGTGATATCCACTGCTACTCTCTAAGCTTTCGGCAAATATCACTGCTGTTTCCACAGCTTTTCGGATATCACTCCAAGCTGCCTCAGGATGGGCATCACTTAAATGGCTGCCTAACTGTTTTTCTAGTTGTTCCTGAAGTGTACTCACGGTTTGCAATCATCAAGTAGAACTCTAAGGGTATTTTTTGCTGTCTTTCCTATGTCCAGCAAGCCACAGAAGGAGTCGAGCTAGTATTAGAGCATGATTAGTCTTAGCAAGTGATCCGTGGCTGATAGCCATGCGGTTTAGCTGGGTCCATCATCGAGTCGATTTGAAGAGTCACCATGTCAAATGATGTTTTTCTCGATGTTTAAAATTGGTATTAGCCAGAAATAGCTGGTTATCTGAGAATAGCTGCGGCAGACGGTCGCCATTAGCTGCTCCATTAGCCGTGACACCATAAGATCCTCAAGAAGCATGATTCAGTGAGAAAAGTTTAGAAAGTCAAAACTAGAGGGGTTGAAGAATCCAGAAGATTAGGATTTGAGAGAACACAGAAAATAAATGCACCGGCGGCATTGCAAACGATTTTGAGCTATGTCATTCAAGGTCTCTAACCATCGATTAATATCAACTCGCGGACCCCAACCAGGTAGTCGACAACTACCGACATGACTCAGTCCACTTGTCAATGACTTCATAGATTTCTGCCGTGTCTTGGTCTGGCCGCCCCTATTCCTACACCGCAAAACATACTTCGTCAACGTAACCGGTAGTTGGGTATTCGTAACACATGTCCCAACCACCTCAACTGATGAAGTTTCATTACTTCATCTATTGATCTACCATCCTTACCTAGTACTCGTTTCCTAATGGCAGCATTGCTTACTTGGTTGTCTCTGGATACAAGAACAATACTTCGAAGACGCCTATGATCAAAAACCAGTAACCTACGAATATCTTCTACTCTCACTGGCCATGTTTCACAGCCATAAAGTAAGACGGAGCGAACTACTGCACAGTACACTCTTCCTTTAGTCAGCAAACGGATATCTCGCCTGCGCCATAAGTGACGCAGGTTGGCAAAAGCCAATCGAGCCTTCTATATCCGAGCTCAGATTTTATCAGTCACCAGGCCATCAGCACTGATGAGACTCCCGAGATAAATGAAGCGGTCAACACGCTCGACTACTTCACTCCCTATCACGGGAACACAAAGAGTGGAAACACTTGCACCATTGCAAACGATTCTAAGCCATATCATTCAAGGTCTCTAATCATCGATTACTATCTTTCTCGCGGACCTCAACCTTGTAGTCTAAATCTAACAGCATGGTTCAGTGTCCAGTTGCCAGTGACTTCATAGATTTCTGCCATAATTTGTTGGATTTAATCAATCAACAGCAACAACAAGTACAAATATGAAGCAGTAAAAATGCCATTTTATTTATAAATATTATACTTTCAATGTGTAAGTAAATAGTTCCACAGAAATCAATAAATACAGGTCTATTGAAAAAGCAAAAACAAAGATATAAACAACAGGATTAAAGCAAAGGATACAGAGATTTAAAGAAAGTAAAGTTTTCACATATGTATGTATTGTTGTTTTCCTTGTTTTCGTAATGATAAAAGCAATCAGTGAATGAATGTTGACACATGAGATCCTCCTTTATCATTGCTCTATATAAGGGAAGTAAAGTAAGAACAAAAGAGATGTGGGGATGGAATTTTAGTGTAATGTCTTTGGGCGGTGTAGGGTGCGGTTATTGTGATTGTAAATTAGTATCAGTTAAAATTCTAATTTTTAAAAATAACGAGAGATATATAGAGAGAGGGAAAATCGGTCATGAGGAAGTGATATTAGGAATCTGGTAGAACATAAAGAATGGAGGCACCTATACAATTACAAACGATTTTGAGCCATATGATGCAAGGTCTCTTCACCTCCGTTTACTTACTATCCAACCCAACCAGGTAGTCTACATGCACTAACATAACTCCGTCCAGTTGTTGGTGACTTCATGGATTTATGCCATGTCTTGCTCTGTCCACCCCATAGTTTTCTTCCAGCTTACTCCTTCATCGTCGAAGTAGTCAGTGGTTAGACATATGTAACACGTTTCATAATCACCTCAACTGATGACTTTTCAATACTTCATCTATTGATCTACCATTCCTAGCTGATACCTTTTACCTAACAACAGCATTGCTTATTCAGTGGTCCCAAGATATAAATGCATACATGCGTTTATATGCAAACATATAAAGTTTTATAGTTTGTACTGATATATAACGAGCCCATATGGCTAGTCCTTTGGATAAATTAAGTAATCCTTTATATTCAAGCCATGATTCTACACGTCTGTTGACTTTGTTAATTTTTTCGCTTATAATCTTGGTTGTTGTTACTTGAAGTGCGTGTCTACGTTGCTTGCTTAGCTTATCACATTTCTAACTCATTTTTGTTTGACTATATTATATACCTAGTCATGTCTTATCAATCGTTTTCTCCGCTTTACTTCAAGTATTTACGCCTCTCACTCTGTTTGTCCACTTATACTGTATTACGTCTTTCGATTACCGCCATTGAACAAACAGAATGAATGAAATATGTGAAAACCAAAGGGAAGATTTATATTATACCACATTCATTAGTTTGTTCAAAAATTGGAGTCAGATTCTGAGTTAAACTTTATTTCAACAAATTTAAACTGATGTATACAAATTCTTTTACTTGAATCTTTGCATTAAAGTGTTTTTGAATTCAAAACTTCACATACAAGTATATGGGGGGTTAATGTGCACCGCTGTGATTTACACTGATCATAGTCAT